CGGCGCTTGCGCGGCCGGCGGCGATTGGACGAGGCCCTGCGGGAGGGCGGGGCCGGCGGCCGCCCGCAGTTCTCGGCGTTTCCTAACTGCGGCAGAGGGGAGGAAGGGAGGGGGGGGGGACACCCCGGGAGCCGGGGACGGGGCGCGCCTGCGCAGTCTGGAAAGGCGGCCGCCGGGCGTTGCGGTCGGCCGTGGCGTGGAACCTGGGAAGAGAGAGAGAGGGGGTCGTTTGAAGAGTTGAGTCTCAATTTGGATTGTGGCCGGGAGGGGCCCGGCACTGTGGTCAGAGTAGTTGGTACACGTATTTTGGCTCTTGTATGTGCTCCAGCCTGTTTGACTTAGTCTGTTCCCCTGTGCGGTTCATTGAGCTCGTCTCCGTTGGTTGGCTGTCTCCACAGGAAACACTAGCCGGGCATCATGAGTGGCTGTCGAGTGTTCATCGGGAGACTAAATCCAGCAGCGAGGGAGAAGGATGTGGAAAGATTCTTCAAGGGTTATGGACGGATCAGAGACATTGATCTGAAAAGAGGTTTTGGGTTTGTGGTAAGTTATTTCGAACTCTGGCAAGAAGTGGGGTGAGGCTAGCCAGGGCTACACAGAGGAGAAACCCTGCCTCGGAAAAACAAAACAAAAGTGGGTAGACCCGGGCGGCGGTGGTGGCGCACGCCTTTAGTTCCAGCACCGGGAGGCAGAGCCAGGTGGATCTCTGAGTTCAAGGCCAGCCTGGGCTACAGAGGGAGATCCAGGACAGGCTCCAAAAATACACAGAGAAACCTTGTCTCGAAAAACCACACACACACACACACAGCAGGTAGAGTATTTGTGATGAGCGATGACTTTAAGCTGATTGAGTTCATGTGTAAATTTTTTCCAGACAAATGCAGCCTTGAGTCTGTGAGATCTGTTAAGAAAGGATTAAAAAATAATGGCTGGCTGGAACCCATTCCCAGTCATCCCTTGGTTAGGTTTATATGTATTTGAGTTTAAGGTATATCTCATTCATTCTAACACTTTTCATGATTTTAATACTCTGTAGAATGCATGTCCAAAAGCTCTTTACTGTAATGTCAATTTTAGGAATTTGAGGACCCCAGGGATGCAGATGATGCTGTTTATGAACTTGATGGAAAAGAACTTTGCAGTGAAAGGTAGGCATGATCAGTTTATAGGTAGTTTATCCGGGATAATAGAGCAAACTGTCTGTGGAGTGTTTAAGTGTGTAGTGTAAGCATGTAATAGGCATTTTCCATCTCTTCATAGAGTTACAATTGAACATGCTCGTGCTCGGTCTCGAGGTGGGCGAGGAAGAGGACGGTACTCCGACCGTTTTAGTAGTCGAAGACCAAGAAATGATAGACGGTATGTGGTGGGAAAATGGCCTCTAGTGTTTAGGATAGGAACAATTAGCAGCATATTATTCTGAGACATGTTAGTTCACATACTGAGAACCCAGACGCTTGATGGAGGTGCTTGAATCACTGTTTGGTTGCTTAAACTCGGCAGTAAAATGCTTCATGGTACATTGCATCTGACAATGCTTCTTTCTTCCTCAGAAATGCTCCACCTGTAAGAACAGAAAATCGACTTATAGTTGAGAATTTATCCTCAAGAGTCAGCTGGCAGGTTTGTTGAAATACAGTTTTGAGTTATTTTAATGTGGCATTTAAAATGTTAATGGGTAGTTAATGTTTTAATTAATATTAAAACTTTTATCTTAAATTAATGGATTTAATTGAACTATACTTTTAAACTTTAATTAAATGTAACTGGGGGATGTTTCAGATTTTAATATTAGTGATCAAATGTAATTGTTTTGAGGTTATTTTTTCAATGTTTTTAAAAATCAATTTTAACCAAATATTAAACCCTTTATTTGCCAGCCTATCTGTGTCGTTGGCCTTATGACGAGGAGTGCCTGTGGGTTATCCTAATCGTTGTCTTGGTCACTCTTGGTTGGGCCTGGTTGACTTTGCCAGTCAGCTCCTACAGTGATCAGTTGGCCACCTCTAGATCTGTGTTTGCCGGTCTAGACGTAATCGGTGCACTTACTTGAAGTGCCGGGTTGCAGCGATCCCAGAACGTTGATAACGTGATCTGATCCCTAAGTTGAGAGCTGTCTTCCTGTAACGCTTCCGAATAAGAGGTCCTGGTCGAAAGAGTTGAAAGATACGCAATTAGTTGGTCGTTGGAATCCTGATCGCAGTAAAGTGGTCCTTGGTAACTGCACAAGAGTAAAACATGTCTGCATCGCCAGTAGTCTGCTAATAGGGAGGGCTGTGCGATTAAAGGCTTCCATCGATTGGGTAGTATCCTTCAAGTGGGTGGCGAAGAGCCAGTCGGGCCTATGTCATGAAGGTTTCTCCGACCGCTTAATGGTTTGCTGCTTGACTAGCCTAGGGAAATGTTAATAAAGGTAAAGTAAATTTTTTTAATGACATATGGGGCACAAAATAACTGGTGTCTTGTAAATGTTTTTTTTTTTTTCCCATATATATAAAACTACTTTAGTCTTTAAAACATGTACTGTTCCTTTTTGGGTTTTTTTGTTTGTTTGTTTTGTTTTGTTTTGTTTTTTTTTGTTTTCCCCCCTTTTGTATTGAGCTCAGTTAAACTAATACTATAATGTTAAGAATGGGAATTTTCCTCTAGCATTTTGCTTAAAAGCAATATGCTATTTGCTTATTTCGTGCCCTGGCATAATTTTTGAACTCTGATAGAATACAAGTGTGGTGTACACCATGTTTGTACTTTATCTAACAACTTCTCTTCCAGTAGTCTTGTTTTTATACCATGTGGTTGTTTGTCTGTCACTTTGCCCTTTCTCTCCTTAACATAATTGTCTTGTGTTAAGGATCTCAAAGATTTCATGAGACAAGCTGGGGAAGTAACCTTTGCGGATGCACATCGGCCTAAACTAAATGAAGGGTGAGTATGCACTGGAGTTGAGCCTTTTGCTTACTTTGGCAATTTCATTGTGACATTGCTAAGATCCAAAATACGCATGTACATGCTTGATTGTGGTAGTTTTGCATTTGGCAGTTTTGGGGGACAGGTTTTTTCACAAGGGATTTGATTGTTGATACTGCCATTTAGTAGGGACTTGGCATACTGCTACACATTTGACAATACATGGGGAGACACGCCAGACAGAAACAGTTGTCTGCCTCAGAACCGTGCTGTGCTGTGTATATCATCAGCAATAATGGGCAAGCAGGGAATGGACTCAGTGGTTGTCTTGATCTGTGTAGACAGTCTACAAGGCTGTTGGATACATAGGCTTTAAAGGAATTTTTTTCTCTCCCATTTTAGGGTAGTTGAGTTTGCCTCTTATGGTGACTTAAAGAATGCTATTGAAAAGCTTTCTGGAAAGGAAATTAACGGGAGAAAAATCAAATTAATTGAAGGAAGCAAAAGGCACAGGTATTCTTTATTAATATTTTTAAACCAAAAGTTTTACTTAATATTTAGAGCTTTGTCATACAGGTTGATTGTCTTTTCTTCTCTCTTTCCTCCCCATTTTTCTTAGCAGGTCAAGAAGCAGGTCACGATCTCGGACCAGGAGTTCCTCTAGGTCCCGGAGCCGATCTCGTTCCCGTAGGAGCAAGTCTTACAGCCGCTCAAGGAGCAGGAGCCGGAGCCGGAGCAAGTCTCGTTCTGGTAGTAGATCTCCTGTGCCTGAGAAGAGCCAGAAACGTGGTTCTTCAAGTAGATCTAAGTCTCCAGCATCTGTGGATCGCCAGAGGTCCCGATCTCGGTCCAGGTCCAGATCAGTTGACAGTGGCAATTAAACTGTAAATAACTTGCCCTGGGGGCCTTTTTTTTTTTAAAAAAAAAACAAAACAAATTCCCAAACCATACTTGCTAAAAATTCTGGTAAGTATGTGCTTTTCTGTGGGGGTGGGTTTGGAGGGGGTTGGGCTGGATTTCTTTGTAGATGTGGACCACCAAGGGGATGTTGAAAACTAATTGTATTAAATGTCTTTTGATAAGCCTTCTGCTCACACTTTTGTGACTGTCTGAAGTATATAGTTTGTGTATATTGACAGAGCTCTTTTATAACTAAAGCATTTAATTTTTTGTACTAGAAAACCTTTTGAACATTTTAGTTCATTGTTCAGATACGTTAACTTGATTAGTTTAATTACTCAATTAAACTAATAGCTTTGGACACTTTAAAAGAGCTCTAATTTGCTTGTATATAAAGGCTTAATATGAGTTTTCCTTGTTAGGGTCAGGGTGTCTTCTCACCCATTATTAGCAGCTGTAGACAGACGTTAAAGCAGCTGTTTGTTATTGATAATAAAATATATCAAGTATTATACAACTGCTTTTGGTCTTTTTCTCTCAAGAAGTCCTGTATGGTTTATTATTCTATTCCATATCCTAAGTTAAAACTACACATGTAAAACCCTGAAGTAGCGTGGTATGGGCTTGCGAGTTTATTTTGCTGTTTGAAGCTAGTGAAAGGGGCTAAGTTGAAAACTGACAACTAAGTTGAATGGCAGTTAACCTTATTTCTGTTCCTCCATGCTTTCCAATTGCCACCTGACTTGTATTGCCATCAGGTTACTTACCCTAAGAGCAGAATGGGCAGTGCTTTGATAAACACTAAGATCCAGTGCAGATGTTGTCTTGGCTTCTTGACAGATGTAACACAGTTGGAATTGTCATAATTTCTCAGTGATTGAGCTTTAAGGGATTTTCATGTGCTGGGCTCAGTTCTGAGAGACAAAACTATATGCATGTATTAGATTTTCGAGACAGGTTACTCTATGTAGCCCTGACTGTCCTGGAACTCGCTTTTTGTAGATCAGGCTAGCCTCTGTTTCCAATTACTGGAATTAGCTACCCATTCTCTAGCCCAGTTTTAATAGGTAGTCATTTAGGTCTATCTCTGTGAGAAGGAGAGCTGCCCTGTAAGTGAGTTTTCTTCTTGATGAAAGCCTAGTTGCCAGGTGTGCTAGGTTGGTAAGTATTGGATAGCAGAACCTGAGTGCTTGATGTTGAGTGAATCCTCAACTGCATTACCACCTAGGAAATTTAGGGGCTTTTCAAAGGACAAGTTAAGGGGTCAGTTGTTAGGATCCAGCATTTCTAGTACTATTAATACCTCAGGACTAGACGAGCATACTCATTCCTGCCATATGGAATAGAAGTAGGAAAAAGGAGCTTGTTGCTTGCACAAAGTTTGGGAGTGAGGGCAGGCATTTGGGACTAGGTTTGGGAAAAGATAAGCCTTGTTAGGAAGGCTGGTTACTTGCTAGGTCCAGTCAGAGAATGAGACAGATGATCCTTACAACAGGCTAGATCTAGGACTAGTGGTGTGCTTGTTTACTTAGGGAGCTGTTGCCATAACACTGACAGAATCTAGCCTTCTCTTTCCTAAGACCTGCATCAGGGTGAAGTGAATGCTAAGACCTGAGATTTGAGAAGTTAGGCAGTGAGATTGAGACAAGGCTTCACTGTGTCTGGGCCTGGTTGGTTTGGGGCTTGCTATGTGCTGGCCTAACTCAGATGCACCTGCCACTGACTCTTGAGTGCTGTACTTCAAATTTGTGTGCCACACAGCCTTAGAAGTCTCAAGACAAGTTGCTTCCTTTCATCTACTTATTATTTCTTTATTTTATTTTTTTGGTTTTTCAAGATGGTTTCTCTGTGTAGCTTTGTACCTTTCCTGGAACTCACAAGAGATCTGCCTGGCTCTGCCTCCTGAGTGCTGGGATTAAAGGCGTGCGCCACCACCGCCCCAGCCTCATCTACTTCTAAGGATAGTTTGAAGTCCCAGTTCAGCCTTTCCTGAATGCTAGATCTTTACATTAGTTAATCACATCTTGCACAGTGGTAGCTGGATGTTAGAGAAGTCATTGAACAGATGAACCTCCAAATTGAAAGGTATTTTGTGGTGAGTTGATACTGGCTTATATCCTAGGCTGGCTTTCAACTTACTGTGTAGCTAATGGCCTCAATTTTTCTTTCTTTTGTGCCCTTCCCCAAATTGATGGTGTTAGACTGCCCTTATGTACCTAAACTTTTTTTTTTGGTTGAAAACTTGGGCTTGCTAGGTACTGTGTAGCTCAGGCTGACCTCAAACCTGAGCAAACCACCTGCTGCTTTAGCAGGCATGTGAGCATGTGCTTCAAAGGGTATGGCACCATACTTTTTTTTTTTTTTTTTAATTTAATAAAAACATGGTAAGGATGAACCCAAATAGTCGGTCTTGTTCTGGTCCTGGGAATGCATGTTAGTATTGCCACTTTGCCAGACAGGTGGCTTAATATGGCTTCAGTTGTACCTGATCACTAGTAAATAAAAACCTACGTAATTGGGCTAGAGAGGTGGCTCAGAGGTTAAGAACACTGCTTACTCTTCCAAAGGTCCTGAGTTCAATCCTCAGCAACCACATGGTGGCTCACAACCATCTGTAATGAGATCTGGTGCCCTTTTCTGGCCTGCAGGGATATGTTCAGACAGAACACTGTATACATAGTAAATAAATCCTTAAAATACAAATATTTTTTTTTTTAAAAAAGCTAACCATGTTCGACTGTATGCATTGGGTAGTTCATCTTTCAGTGTTTTTGGACATCTGAGTAAAAAAAAAGGGCAAAATGTTTAGGTATAGAGGAAATACGAAGGTTAAAATATTTTTCTGTATAGTAGTACTTCCTCTAAAGTTTTTACAGTGCCTGATGGCACTCACAGGTAAACCGATAGAACGGGCATCAAGTGTAATTGTGCTGGCTTGTTTCTTGGCTTTTTAAGTAAGAATTTCTCTTCTCTCGTGGTAGTGGGTGGCAATTTTGTCCTGTTTAATTGCTTTTGTGCATTTTGTTTTTGTTTATGAGACAGGGTTTTTCTGTGTAACACTGTCTTGAACACTCTTTGTAGACCAGGCTGGCCTGGGAGTCACAGGTCTGCCTCCTGAGTGCTGTGATTAAAGTGTATGCCACCACTGCTCAGACACTTGTGTACTTGGTATTGATTTGAACTTGAACACAAGTCATGTGGCAAAGGGAAAAAGAATTAAGATCCGGACTTTTCATAAATTAGAACTATTAGTATTACAGTTTATTTCCTTTTGAGTTACTTGAAACAAGTTGTGGATGTTTAATGAACACCTACCTACTGGTAAGTTTAGAAATAGTGACATTAATGCTCATCAGATACTGCTGTGTGTATAGTGTGGGGGGGGGTGAGTGCAGCCTTCATGAGTGTTCATAGCCACACTGAAGGGTACTTTTGGTTTGACAGTCTTGCTTTGTACTTTAAGGTTGACTTTGAGTTTCTGAGCATTGGGATTATAGACATGAACCACTTTGCCCAGTTTCTTAGTTTTTGAACAAATAGCAAATTCCATGTTGGGGATGGGTGAGGGTTCCTGGGTAGATTGCTCCTCTAGCTTAGGTTTTGCTAGAAAGTGATTTGCTGGAAGTGCTATACAAACATTCAGGCAAGATTGGTGTTCTTTCTTGATGCTTCTAATTTTTCACCTGCCCAGAATCCAGTCCATTGGGGGAAGGGCTAGGTTGTTGTGTGGAAGGAACATTGCCATTGTGGGTGCCTTTTTCCAGAGCTGGACTAGCATCTTCAGTTGCAGCAGCCTTGTAGATGACTTTCGTTTTGTCTGTGAAGTCAAAATAGAGAATGACTGAGTAATATTGTGGTGGTTTGAATGAGCATGGCCCCTATAGGATCTATATTTAAGTGCACAGTTTTCACTTGGAGAAGTTTGGGAAGGATTAGATGGGGTGGCCTTGTTGGGGGTGTGTCACTTGGGGTGGGTTGTTGAGGTTTCAGGAGCCTTCATGCCTCATCGTTCCTAGTTAGCCTTTCCTTGCCTGTTGGTGGGTCAGGATGTAAGCTCTCCGTTACTGCTCCAGTGTGATGCCTGCTGCCGTGCTCCCTGCATGAAGGGCGTGAACTCAGAACTCTTTGAAATTGTAAGCTCCCAACAAACCCTTCTGTAAGTTGCCTTGGTCTGATGTCTAGCATCACAGCAATAGAAAAGTAACTAAGACAAACACAAAACTTGTCCAAATACAGGAACTCCAGAGGGTGCTCTGTATCTACCATCTCAGCCCTTTTAGAATGATTTGTTTTTCCTTTGAGATCCCTAATGTGTTAGCACTTTGTGCAGATTTTTCATCACTCTGTAACAACTCACACAATAAAGCTGTAGAGAAAAGTGGGTTTAGGTAAGTAATGACAGATTCTGAAGGAAGGGAAGGCAGGAAGAAGCTTTAGGGGAATCTGATCAGATGTTTCAGACTGCCAACCCCTACTTGCCTCAATCCGGTTGGTTTATCTATTTTTTTTAAACCCCTATGTGGAGTGGTGAGGAACTTTGAAGACAGGAGTCAGGAAGGTCCTCTCTTTTCATGCTCTCCCACTTCAGCAGAAGAAATGGGTCAAACTTTTCACTCAGTTTTGGTACTGGGGTCTTCAAAATCGGCCTTTTCAAGGTCTTGATGGAAAATCCAGAGTCTCACATTGAAGGTTATCACAGGTCTTCTGGAACCACAGCCCTTTAAGCCTGGAACCTAATTGTTGGCTCTAGAAGTGCCATCCCTTGCACTGTTCATGAAAGTGTTGCCCACTTATTACCACTAATAAGTGACAGGATTGTTTGGAGGAGAGGCTCAGACTTAGGTTCTTTCCCCAGCTAGTTTTGAACCAAAGGTTTTAGTGGTTCTGTAGTGTGGCCAGCTCTTCGCTTTCCTTTTTGGCTTCTTGATAACCAGGATTACATCTAAATTGAGAAGGGAAAGTTGGCGTTTGCTAATATAGTAATGGCCAATTCTACCAGGCAAAGTTTTGTATCT